ACTATATAAATAGTACACACACACACACACACACATATATATATATAATATATATATATATACACACATACACACACACACATATATATATAGACACATAGACATACATAGACATGTATACATATACAATCAATATACATTTCAATCCCACACATACTGCAGATGAGAATATACGGTACGTGTGGCCTGGTCCAGTTCGGCCGGCACGTCCCGCTCGCTGATTGGCGGCTGCTTGAGAAGTCCATTCGATCTCAAACTTCGAGATGGCTGCGGCTGTTTCGTGACGTTTGGTCTTTACTTTGCCGGTGTCAACGACGTATCTATTGGTTGTGTAGTTGCCGATTGGACGATTGTGTGTTAATTGATTGGCGGGGGAGACTAATGTGATTTAGTATCGCCAACGAAGGTTTGCTGTCCCATTTTCCGCAGCCACACACAGGCTCGCTCCCTTTGGGAGAGTCCTCAAGACGGTCACATCCAACAATCAGATGTTGACAAGAAACAGTGTATGTATACACAACAAACCCAAGAAATGCGATATAAGGGCTGCACAAATTGGATAGAAGGAATCTAAATACGTTCCTGCCATATTTGCCACGATTACATTACACACCCTCCCTCTTACGCATATCTTCAAGAGAAACGGGACGCAAAAAATCAGGCATGTACACCAAGAATATTGGAAGTAGAGACGTACTCTAATTTTTGTATACACATACTTGCTATTGGGAATCGTCAGGAAGGTTTCTGCAACGATTGCTGCAATCACATACCCACACACCCTCTGAAAAGGTCCTCAAGAGTGTCACAACACAAAAAGTCAGGAATATGCACCTTGGAACACTATATATATATAAATACAAATATATATAAATGACAAGAATGTACACCTGAAACCCTTAAACACACCATATATAGATACATATATATACATAAGTAAACCTAAAAGTCTGGAATATACACTCTAACTTTATATATATATACATATATATAAATATAGATAGATATATATATACATATACATACATATATATATATATATATATGTATAAAAGAAACCTCAATTTTCAAAACAGACATACTTGATATTAGGGATCGTCAAGGATGTCTCCGCCACGTTAGTTGCAATTACACACAGCCTGGCACCCTCGGGCGGTTGTTCAAACACTCTCATCTGTTGTGCCTGGGGCAGCATGGCGTAGAGCGGCAGCACGTGCAAAGGTCCCGCCGAAATCGCGCCAATTGCCATATTTGGATCATCCTCGTCCTCCGAACCGCTCTCGCCGGAAAGTTCACCGCTTGTATCGGTGGCTGTGATGTTGGGTTATAAAACGCAACGAGTTATGGGAAAGTATCCAAGCTACGCCTAGCAACCGTAAGCCAAACACCTGTCAAGTAGAAACATCCCATAGCGCCATACGTATGGTCTCGTTAACCGTGCGGGGATCTGTGCACGGACACACAGAAGAACAATACCGAAACATGTCTTTATATATACTCACGCAGATGATTCGGAATCTCTACATACGACGAGCTACAGTTCGGTACCAGACTACCCAATGTACCCCCAGCCAACTAAGCTCTAGAAAACACACGCTTTTTAGCCTTCTTGCCCTAAAGAAAACAACCTTTTTAGTCCTTGTCGTAACAAACACACCCCTTTTCGCCCTCCTGCCCTAGAAAACACACGCTTTTTAGCCTTCTTATCCTAAAAAAAACACCCTTTTCAGTCCTCTTGCCGTAACAAACACACCATTTTTAGACCTCTTGCCCTATAAAACACACCCTTTGTAGCCTTCTTGCCCGACTCTGCGCTCGTCCCCCCATCCATCTCCATCTCCACCGTTTCAGCACCACCTTTCGTATCTGTGGCATTCTGTCCACCCGGCGTGCTCGTGGCTGGGGCTGTCTGTTTGGTGCGGCTGTACTTCTTCTTCAGTTTAGTGACCATCTGGGTCACCTCCGCCTGACTCGTGACGAATACGAGTATCCCGCCTGGTAGGGGTACAGCCAACAACGGTATCAGTACAAAGTACCCATGATCTTAAGCATGAACTTAACGATAATCTTAAACCATAATCTTAACGATAATCTTAACCATAATCCTAAGCTTAATCTCAACCATAATCTTGAACATAATCTTAGCCATAATCTTAACCGTAATCATAACCATAATCTTAGGCATAATCGTCAACCATAATCTTAAGCATAATCTTAACCATAACTTTAACTATAATCTTAAAAACCATAATCCTAACCATAATCCTAACCATAATCTTAACCATAATTTAAACCATGATCTTAACTATAATCTTTACCATAATCTTAACCATAATCTCCACCATAATCTTAATCATAATCGCGACCAAGGACATAACCAGGCATGTTAGTGCTGGTGTCAACTAAAGGTTTTCAGACACGCAGCGGCATGCGTGGACACCCTGTGACAGGATATCCCACACGAATACCGCGTGTGCGTCGTTCCGAGTGCTTACCTGGTGGCAGTTTTTCATGGATTTTGGAGGTCTTTTTAAGGGCCTCTTGGATGTAATTCTCGTGAGGTGTCTTGCGGTTGAAATGTATGGTGACCGGAAACTGGCGCGAGGCGATCTGGGAGGGGTGCAGATGACAACCAAGGACGGTCAGAGATATACTATACACACTCGGTATACACGCTTATTTCATTGTACTAACAAAATATGTGAGCCACTCGATATACACGCGTATTTCATTAAACGAACAAGATCCGTGAGCTCCAAGGTACCAAAGACTGCGAGTGTGCTGATGCGCAACAGCACAGATCACTGGCCGCTGGATGCACAGAGACGAACCAATTGCTAAATAGATGAGTACAGATCACTCACAGACACACACCAACTGCTAATAGACGAGTACAAAACAGCAGCAATCAACACAAGTTGCAGTATGTACCAGTCTTACTGTACAAGCACACGCTGCACTCATAACAACCACGTACGTCTCACCACCGGATATTTAATACACCTACATTAAAAGTCGGGCATGGGTAAATCTAAAATCTTAACCACCGGATATCTATATATATCTACATTAAAAGTCTGTCATGGGTAAATCTAAATCCCTAACCACCGGACAACTATCTACACTAAAAGTTATACCTACGTTAAAAGTCTGGCCTGATCTGCAATTTAAAAAAAAGATGGGCACGGTACCAGTACATACAACCCGCACCAATCATCCTCAGGTGTCGTGTATACCCCTCATTCTAAACTAGCAGTAAATTCTAAACTAGCACAACCCACCGGAACAACAACACGATATATATCGGTCTTACTGTACACACCTCTAATCCCTCATTCTAAACTAGCCAAACCCGCCGGAACAACAACACGGTATATATCGGTCTCACTGTACACACCCCCAACCCCTGAGGCCCGCACACCAACCACACACATACCTCCACTACGGGTGGGGGGGTCGGGAAGATGCGAGTGTTCATGGTAAAGTCCTCTACTCGCAGTGTGGCTGACATGATCACCAGGCGGATAGGATACACCGCCTCGTTGGCCCTTTTGAAGGCCCCTCGCTGGCCCCGGGTGCTCTGGGCAATTTTCTCCTTGTACTCCTGAGCCAGTTTGTTCCGTAGTGGGACTATACGGGACAGTAGTCCGATTAGAATGTCTGTGTTCAGAGTGCGTTCGTGCGCCTCGTCGATGATGATGGCTGAGTACTTGTTGATCAGGAAGTCGCGTTCAATCTCCTGCGCGGATTGGGTGGAGCAGGATTTATAAATCGAACGATATCTATAAATAGAACAGATTGAACTGCTGATCTATATGTATAAGGTAAATAGGTATACGCTGTAGAACAATACCCTCGGGAATCTTACAGTCCTTCGCAGCCTCGGTACAATCGCAGCTGCCTCTGACCTGGAAATCAGATCGCACCCGTTTGACCATAGATAGATAGATACATAGATACATACATACACACACATGCATACATACATAGATACATAAATGCATGCATACATAGATACATACACACATACATAGATGCATATATAGATACATAGATACAGTCATATGTAAATCAGATCGCGCCCGTTTGACTATACTACTCGACCGATCGCAAGCGAAACGGCTCATTCAGGAAATTAGAACGCATAGACCCCCAGCATTTCAACCAATACACATCCAAGCTTAAGAGTCTTCTAAACCCATTCGACATATACATACAGACACATAGATAGGTACATTCACATGCAGATTTAGATGATTGCTATAAAACGCCTAAACGTCTACGGAAGCTATTTGAAACATACATACAGACATACAGATAGGTACGTTCACGTGCAGATCTAGATGATTGATATATAAAACGCTTAAACGTCTACTGAAGCTATTTGAAACATACATACAGACATACAGATAGGTACGTTCACATGCAGATTTAGATGATTGATATAAAGCGCTAAAACGTCTACTGAAGCTATTCGACACATACATACACACACACAGATAGGTACGTTCACATGCAGATTTAGATGATTGATATAAAAAGCTTACACGTCTTCTGAAGCTATTTGATACATACATACACTGAAGCTATTTTACATTTACATACAGACACACAGATACGCACGTTCAGGAACACACCATCGACACACTCCCTCTCCTCCGGGTGCATGTACCAGGCTTCTACTGCATAACATATACATACCCCCTCACGCACACCATCGGTACAAACTTGAGTTGTAAAATCACCGCTGTGTCGGAGTTGTATCCCAACAGGGCGGCTTGACCCAATTCCCTACCTATATACTCACTCACTCACTTAGACATACAGCCGTACTCACTCACTCACTCAGACATACAGTACTCACTCACTCATCAGACATACAATACTAACTCACTCACTCAGACATACAGCCGTACGTACGACTCACCCATGTAGGCAAACACACACGAACACCTACAGATGCAGAACCACCTGTACACCTACCTTCAACAGCACACCATCGGTCATGAACTTGAGCTTCGTAGCCTCGGTACAGTCGCCACTGTATCGGACCTGGAATCCGGACAGGGACGGTTGGCCCATTTCCTTACCTACACGCTCACTCATGCTTATGGCGGCGACACGACGGGGTTCAGTGACGCCAATTAGTCCAGGATAGTCGCCTTTTCCACTGCCGAAACCGGCTTCGTACAGAAATTGTGGTACCTGGGTAAACGTATAGCACACACCAAAAGTAGGTGAATTAGCCATTTTAGGGTACGTATTGGTGAATTAGCCATTTTAGGATTCGTATTGGTGAATTAGCCGTTTTAGGATACGTATTGGTGAATTAGCCATTTTAGGATACGTATCGGTGAATTAGCCATTTTAGGATACGTATTGGTGTCGAGGCTTCGGTTGCGCATGTGACGCACACGGTGAATGGCAGACACAGTCGCAGGACCGGCGAACAAGTACACAAGAAGGTACACATTGGGTGTACATTTGATGTACGAGAATTTGGCCCAGGCACAAGAATAGTACTTTGCCTGGCTCAAAACAACAACAACAAACCAATCAGCATATCAGCTCAGGCGTCCGGAGACCTCGGACTAGGCTAAGCATAAGGTATCTAACGACGATTATAGTATCGAATTCCAATCAATACGTATGCAAACTACCAACGGAACGGCCTTCCAAACACCCCATTCGGCGCCTTAACGTGATACTCTCTATAGAAGGTAGGACCCTCATCAGCACAAGCAGCAATTAACAAGCTATTCTGAGTGCTTGGTATACACAGTCAATGGGACAAACGGCAACGTTATACCTGAGGTGGGTCTCCACCGACCCACTCTCAGCACAGTACTTTATATCCCAATCTCCTTGACCTCATACGCCGTCACCCACTCAAAAAGGGGCGGATCAACACATACTACACACTCACAAGGTCAAAGTACACACAACGACTGCTTACCTACGTGTCACATACTACACACTCACAAGTTCAAAGTACACACGACGACTGCTTACCTACGTGACACATACTACACACTCACAAGGTCACAGTATACACGACGACTGCTTACCTACGTGGTACATACTACACACTCACAAGGTCAAAGTACACACGACGATTGCTTACCTGCGTGGTCTTGCCACTTCCCGTCTCTCCGCAGAGTATAACAATAGGCGTTTCTCTGATGGTTTCCATCACGCGTTGTTCCTCGCCCAGAATCGGCAGCTGCAGCCGTTGCGCTTGGATTTCGGGATCGCGGTTCAAGCTCACGAACGTAGCCGCGTCAACGACTTCATTGGCATCCCTTTTGACACGTGTCAGTGTCAGATGGCTCTCCTTGTACGCAATGGGTCCGAGTGTCGACACTGTCGTATCTTCCGCTTCAGCGTTGTCGTCTGCGAGAAAGAGATAGAGTGGTTTCACCGGAATATTAACAAAACAAGCTCAGTAGCACAATACTCTCTAGCCAGTGTAGAGAGAGAGAGAGAGAGAGAGTGTGTGTGTGTTGCATAGTGCAAATAAGATTTGTAAGGGAATATTATGTTACAAGAGGGTGCCGTATAACAAGGCTGGTTACGACAAACCGGCCTCGACCAGAACATGTGTAGTGTATTAAGTTCTGGCTCCGTCTGCACATGCCGTACGCACGCATACCCAAATAG